TCTTCCCTTCTTATTTTAGTGTAGTAAAATATGCATAACATAAAATATATAGTAAAATGTACATAACATTTTTAAGTGTATAGTTCAGTAATATTAAGTACATTCACATTGTTGCACGACCATCACCACCATCCATCACCAAAACATTTTTGCTGTTCCAAACTGAAACTCTGTACCTGTTAAATAATAACTCCCCATTCTCATCCTCCCTCTAGCCCCTGATAACCACTATTCTATTTTTTATCTCTATAAACTTGACCATTTCAGGTACTTTATGTAAAAGGACAATTGTACAAATTGTCCTTTTGTGACTGGCTTATTTTAATTGGCATAATGTCTTCACGGTTCACCTATGATGTAGTATGCATCGTAATTTACTTTCTTTATAAGGCTGAATAATATCTATTGTATGCGTATATCACATTTTGTTTATCCAGTCATCCATCAATGTATATTTGAGTTGTTTCCACCTGGCTATTTTCCATAACGCTTTTTATGAACATTAGAGTACAAATACCTGTTCGAGCCCCTGTTTTCAATTGTGTGTGTATATATACATATATACAGATTATATATATATACAGATTAATACAGAATAATATTTCCAATTGCTAGATCATATAGTAATTCTGTTTAATTTTTGAGTAACCACCATACTGTTTTCTACAGTGGTTGCACCATTTTATATTCCCATCGACAATGCACAAGGGTTCCAATTTTTCTACATCCATGCCAACACTTGTTATTTTCTAAGTTTTTGATAATAACCATCCTAATGTATGTGTATACTACCTATAAGAAAATGGCAAATCTCATAAATAAAATATTTATCAAAAGAAACAAACAAAACTAATAAATAAAATTATTTTTATTTATATAAAATTCAAAACCATTCATACACAAGAAAAACAAAAAAAACAATTTTCACAAATTCAGAGTAACATTTTCCTCTGAAGGGAAAGAATAGTAATTAAAAAGTATACCCAGAATGCTTCTAGAAGGCTGATTGTGTTCTGTTTTTTAACCTATGTGGTTAGTTATTTATTAAACTCTATATACAGGTTTATTCAGCTCTCTCTCTGAATAAGTTATAGGTCACTCTAAAGACATGTTATTATTAAATCCTCAATTATGAAAAACTTATTCTAAAGTCATGAGCTAGAGAATAGTGCATATAGCTATCTTAGATATAAATCCAGGTCGAGAAGTATAAATTCAATTTACTTTGAGAAATTTATACTTTAAGTTAAATAATGTGTTTAAGCTTAAGGTAAGTGAAAATGTTTTATACTAATGTAAACTTAAGATCCTTAAGATCCAATGACATCCAAAGATGAGAATCTATGAGGAAAATAATAGTTGCTAAAAATTTTGGTGATTCTCACCCATACCATTCTCATTAAAGGATCCTCAATATAAGTTCAAGGAAAAAAAGGTTACATAAGGCATATAGTGTATGAACAGGATATAGAAAAGTAGTAAATATCTTCTGTTGAATGGTAGGACTCCTTCTTAGGAAGGCTCTCATGGTGGCAAAGCCATAAGCCAAAGAATATCACCAAGGGTCCCTAACTCTCGGGCTGTGGACCAGTACTGGTCCGTAGCCTGTTAGGAGCCAGGCCACACAGAAGGAGGTGAGCAGAAGGTGAACGAATGAAACTTCATCTGTATTTGCAGCTGCTCCTCAGTGCTAGCATCATCGCCTCAGCTCCACCTCAGATCATCAGGTATTAGATTCTCATAGGAGCACTGGTCCCTGGTGCCAAAAAGGTTGAGGACCACTGTTTTAGAGGAAGTTATAAATGCCAAGCTTGGTAGAGACCTGAAAGTGGAAGTGGTAAACCTCATGTACATGACACAAAGCAAGACAAAAGGGAAGAGATAAGGATTTCATGAAAAAGTAAAAACCCTAAAAATAAAGAAGGAGAGAGAGGGGAAGTGAATCATTGTTGTAACAAATTACTGAAAGTGGAAAACCAGAGAATTAAAAATAATGAATGAGTCTTTTGTTCCCTGTGGAAGATCTTTGTTTGGTTCAGATTTCACTCATGCACATATGCACTGAAAAAGAATGAATGTTAAAATGTAGTTTTGTATAGCTTAATCAGAATCATTTTGTTTTTTAATTTTACATTGTCAATGAAAAGTAAAAGGACATCTAGATCTAAACAAACTGTTTTGTCCTGTGCTGTAAAATTGTGAAAAAGGCATTAGCATATATTGATAAAAGAATACCAAAAGAGTTGATAGTTACTATACTTTTAGACTCAGTTTCAGAATTCTATTAGCGATACAAAGGGGGCTAGTAGATTTTAGATAAACAGTGTATAACAATAATTTTAAGATTGCCATAATATTCAAACACTATTAGATTAATTTTTGTCTCTCTAAATTTACAAGGATATAAATCTTACCAGAAATCTGTTACTGTTTTTGAGATAAGAAATTATAATAGAAAAAATGAAGTATAGTCTGAGATGAACAACTCTAGGTCCACATTCTTGGTGAAATACAGAAAGCACAGGATTTTGTTCTTTTTTGCACTTAACTTGGCTCTTGACAAAGATTGTGCACATCATTTGTCTTAACTGGGTTCCCCTAAAAGCAAAGTCTAAGACAAGGGCTTGGGTACATATGATTTAATTGGGAGATGGTCTAAGGAACAGGAGAGATAAAACAGGAAGAGCAAAAGAGGAAAGGAGAAAGGAAAACAAAAGAAAGATATGTTATTAAGATTACCATATGATCTAACTTAAATGTAAAATCTAAGGAACAAAATAAACAAACAAATAAAACAGAAACAGACTCATAGATACAGAGAACAAACTGATGGTTGCCAGAGGGAGGGGTGTTGGGAGTTAGGTAAAAAAAGTGAAAAGGATTGAGAAGTACAAATTGGTAGTTGTGAAATCATCATGGGGATGTAAAGTACAACGTAGGGGATATAGTCAATAATATTGTAATTGTATATAGTACCAGGTAGGTACTAGACTAATT